CACAGGATAGAACGGCGTTTAGGGCTCTTGTACATAGGGTCGCGATGAGTCACAAGTGACACCATGGCACATAACAACAACAACAATGCTGTATAAGTCCAGTCATCCCTTCTTTTAGTAGGAAAAAAAATGGCCAGGTCACCTAAGAACTTTTTATACACTCTAACCCTTAGGGTAGGCTCAACTCTCCTAGGCAAAACTCTTTACTGCTAAGAGTCAGAGTGGCTCCACAGCACACAATATTCATTCAGAAAACCTCAAGCCAATGAGGGAATCTTGTGGCTCCACTTCCACCTTATCACCACTGCACCACTAGAGGGCAGGCTGGTTCACATATCCCAGAACAGGCACCACCTACCCTCAGATCCCTCTCCAGTTGGCCAGTCTGGTCTGCTTAAGAGCCTGGTGACAAAAGATTGGAAATTGCAAGCACCATAGTATACTACCTATTGATGTTCAGTAAGCAATAAAGATAGTATTATGCTAACTTGAAAGGCTTCTCATAAATCACAAGGAAAAAAAAAATATTACCTTTCCTTTCAAAGCTCTCCTCTCTGACAAAGCAAACAAGAGCCAGGAATTTTGTCACTTCTTTTAAATAAAGAACTGTTGTATTATTCAGCTTTATAATGGCTGTTGATTCCTTGTCATAGGGGGTTCCAGCTCCATCTTCTTTTAGACTGCATGAGGAAAGAAAAATGCACTTAACTAAAAGAACTGCAAATGATTATGACAGAGACCTAGTTCTACACAAGCAATGATACCATAATGAGAAGCCGTTTATGTTTATAATAACTTTTAGCCAAGATCTCAGAAACACAGATTCCTAAGAAAGTAAAGTGTACAATAGTCATTTTTCTGATATTATATGTACGACAGCTGGGCGACACTCAGGACATCAGAGTAACACAGGCAAGTGATGAAGGTTAAGTCAACTCTTCTCTCCTCTAAGGCTAACCAAAAATAAGTTTGTGGCTGTTCAAGGGGACTCTCCATTGGGTTTCTGAAGCTATAAATCTTCACAGGACACTACCTTTGCTTTGTTCTGTGAGTGGCTGGTGGGTTAAAACTGCTGAAATTTTGGTTATAAGCCTAACACATACTACACTGTGACACCAGACTTCCTCCTCATGACTCACAAGACTTGCGGTTTGCTCCTGTCAAATATTTGTCAGAGCACAAATGTGTCAGATGAGGGGGAGCTCTGGTGGCCTAGTGGCAAGAAGCTGCACTGCAATCCCAGAGGAACACGGTTCGAATCCACCAGATGCTCTGCCGGAGAAGGAGGCGCAATATCCTCCTGTACCAGTCAGATCTGATTTGACGGTACACGCACACAAAATAATAAAAAATAATAATAA